CTTTTACAGCTACTGTAGGTATACTGTAGATAACAGTAGGTTTGATTTTATCTGAAAAACGCTGACTGGTCCGTGAAAGGTCTTGATCCCAAGTGGACAGTAAAAATTGGCTCAGTCGTCAATGTGTTAACCATGTGATCTCCCAAGTTCGCTGCAAAAGAGAAATGCCGGTGGTAGAAGGCCCAAGTGGCTTCACCTCAACGTGGGTGCTTTAGACAAAAAGTAAAAATCCGAGCTCCAGTATATCAAGTGAAAATTCGCTTCTCCTTTTACTATCAGATTCTGACATTTCTATCTACACTGAAGCCTGCTTTCGAGCCCATTACCTTCGGACCTCCAAAGTTGGGTGGAGCCGCCGTTTCCTCTTCTACCTTCTGAAGCAATTTCACGCTTCGAAATTCATCTTTTGCAACGGAATTTGAGCGTTTACCTAATTGAGTGGTCCGCTATCAAAGTTTTAAAATGTCAGACTCCTCTATTTGAATGGGCGATGCCTCGAAAGCGTCAAATTTACACCTTTCTAGGCTGATGTTCGGCTGTGCAGCAATACCAGCAGCATTCCAGCTTATTTCATTCTTCTTCCTACCTGAAAGTCCCAGATGGCTGTACGATCACGGTAGGCAAATCGAAACGGAAGAGGTAACAGTTTTCAGCATCATTTCTCTAATAACCTTTTCCACTACAGGTGCTGAGAAAAATTTACAATGGTGATGAAGAATGGGTCAAATTCGAAATGTCTGAGATTAAGAAAGGATATGATCAAGAGCAAGCAAATAAAAGCGACTCTCCAGGTATTGTTAACGGACTTGGCACTCTCAGAGATGAAAGTTGAAGAAATAGGTCTTTCTCTATTGGAATTCTCATATTTTGTCTTCAGTCATTTGGCGTATCCTTCGAACCCCGCACGTCCGTAAAGCACTCTTCATCGGAAGCATGCTTCAGTGCTTCCAACAGCTTTCTGGAATCAATACCATCATGTAACATTTTCTATGCTTCTCCTCCTTATGAAATACTCAGCCTCTTTTTAGGTATTACACCGGTCATATAATTCGAAGTTCAGGCGTGAAAGACGAACATACCACAATTTGGATTTCTGTTGGAACAGCATGTATGTCTCAAGCTTCATTGCTATCTCCCAACAAATT